AGAGAGCACTGGGGGAAAGGAATAGCGACGAGGGCGTTGAGGATGGCCATTCCTCAGGTGTTTGAGAGGTTCCCTGATGTGGTGAGATTGCAGGCTTTTGTGGGTGTGGAGAACAGGGCCTCACAGAGAGTTGTTGAGAAAGTGGGGTTTCAGAAGGAGGGGACTTTGAGGAAATATTGTTATGTCAAGGGGGAGATTAAGGATTTGATTTTTTATAGTTTTTTGTCCTCTGATGTCTCTATTCTCTCTGAATTTTGATGCATAAGGAAATGAAAGTGAATTTCAATTCACTGGTTTTTGTTTTGATTTATCATCTCTTTTCAATGGTTCTTGTTTGGTTATTGTGGTTTCTTCAATCAATGAAACTAGAATTTCCAACATCACTCTCTTCTCTTCTGAATTGACCAGTGTCATGGATTGATGTGAACAGAAAATCTGAGAAAAGTTATTATGAGAATTTATAGAGAGATTATTTGAATTAACTGATGAAATTTTTACTGTGTGGCTTTAATTAGAGAAATTCAGTTGGGTGGAGGGGGAGTAAAAGAACGAATTGGTTTGGAGCTATGAGGAATTTGGGAAGCTTAGATCCAAAGCAGAGGAAGATGAAAAATCTGCTTTTATCTTTCATTATACTCTCAGATGATTCTCTTATTCTTTCTGGATTATTGGGTTACTTAGTTCAATGTGAACTTCATTTCTGTGTGGTAGAGAAATTATCTTAGGCACCTATTTCTTTTTTTTTTTCTCTCCTCTCTCACGACTTAGGAGGGTAAGAGAATTGAATTGAATTAGCTTAGAGTTTCTAAAATTACTTGTATATTATTGCCAAACATTAGGCGTGTTTGAAAGGAATTTTGGGATGATCACACTATTATCGAGTCCATTTGATTTGACATAAAAGATAAAACTGTGCCTATTCCATGTCAAAATGTTGGCTACTATTGTGGAAAGACTTCCAACTTTTGAAAGAAATCTTCTCTCTCCTTTTCCTGTTTGGAGGGAGGAGAAATATTCTCATCTATTTAGTTTTGTTCTTACGTGTTTTATTTGGTTTTTTCTTTATACTCTTCCCACTGCATCATCTACCCTAAATATATGTTTTAATCAGTAATATTTTGATATATATATTTTTAATTTAGTTTTTGTTATTTAAAATATTTTGATTCAGTCATGCAAGAGTTGAAATTTTAAATTAAGAGAATTTAGAAATGGGAAAAAATTTCGAGTTGTTTTTTTTTTTTAAGGTAGCCTAATTAATTTTCTAAATTTTTGTCAACTTACCCGTTTGTTTTAAGTTGTTTTAGATAAAAATATTTTTTTGAA